GGGGGGGGGAATGGAGGGATGGGGGGGGAATGGAGGGATGGGGAGGGAATGGAGGGATGGGGGGGGAACGGAGGGATGGGGGGGGAACGGAGGGATGGGGGGTGGCTGGAGGTCGCTCCGAGCATCATCTCTGCCCTGTGGTTTCCATCCTGCTGAGACACCCGGATGTCCCTGCGTGGTGTGGGGCTTTGTTCTATCGTCCTGGGGGTGAGGGGAAGGGAGCTGTGCCCTCCAGAACAGCAGGCTGGAGGGGTGTCTAAGCTCAGAGCTCCGTATCTGCTCTCCAACTCTCTCTGCCCTGCCTGCAGGAGATCGAGTTCATGTACAAACCAGGGAATGTCAGTGCAGCTCCCGCCGTGGTGGCTCCCCACCAGCCTCGCCTCGACTGGCAGATGTGGTTTGCAGCCCTGGCGCACCACAGCAGCAGCCCCTGGTTTGCCAGCTTCGTCCACCGCCTGCTGCAGGGCAAGGAGGACGGTGAGCAGGATGGGGCAGCCCCATGGGATGGGGGCAACCCCTCCTTGACATTGTACCCACTCCATTTCCCCTGCAGTGATCCGCCTGGTGCAGGTCGATGAGGATAAATACCCCTTCAGCGCTCAGCCGCCCGTCTACCTCCGCGCCCAGCTCTACAAGTACTGGTTCACCCACAGCGCCGAGAGCGGGTGAGCAGGGAGGGGAAGGCAGAGGGAGCTCTGAGGATGGCTCCAGCAGCTCCGGGTTGGGGTGTGGGGTTCCTATCCTCATCCCTGATGCCTTGTCCTGCAGGGTGGGAGCTGCACGGTGGTGGCGGCGGCAGCATGTCCAGGAATTCTTCCCCACCGTCTCACTGGGGGACCCAACGCTGGATGGTCTGCTTGCCCAGCACGGGCTGAAGGTAGGATCCGCTCCCCACACCACACCAAGCCCCATGAGATCCAGCTTGCAGCTCACCCCACAACTCCTTGTGTCTCCTCCCCCCACTTCAGGACAAGCTGCCCCTGAGGCGCCCCGTGGATGCGTTCCTGCCCTGGCTCTTGAGCTCTGTGCGCCGGCTCAGCCGCCCCTTCTCCCCCCACGTCGTGCTGTGGTCCCTCTACCTGGTGGCTGCCACTGCCTGCCTGCTGCGTGCCATGGCCCGCCGGCCCCGGGGGGGCGCACCCCCCACCCGCCACAAAGCATCCAAACAGCAGCGGGGGGATCAGGGGGAGAAGAACGGGCAGCTGCGCAGGAAGGAGGGCAGGGAGGCGGAGGAGAAGGGTGAGGGCCGAACCCGGGGGGCGGCTGATGGTGAAGGCCCCCGTGGCACCAAGAGGAGGAAGTAGAGGTGCTGGGTGCCCCGTATTCCACGCACGCTTCCCCCTCTGGATCCCCACCTCCTGCTCCCCCCCCCCCAGCTCCATCCCTGTGGGGGGGGGGTTCCTCGCTGGGGCTGGCGTGCCGCTTTCCTGCGGTGCCTTCATGCACAGCTGGGTCAGTGCAGTGTGTGGCTGCTTCCTTGCCCCCATCCCCCAGCTGGGGCTGCCCCTGTGCCCCCCTCAGTTGGCTAGGCTGTGGGGTGGGGGCTGTGCTAGGTCTCAGCTGCCTTGTGCTGGGGTTGGGGGGGACTTGGGGGGTTGTTCTGTGCCCCGCATCACGTTTTTCCCCCTCCTCAGCTCAGTGGGTGGCACAGAGGTTTCCTATAATTTTCTAAATAAAGCCTTTGACATTCCAACCCGAGATCTCTCCTTTAGGCTTGGGGGGATGGGATGGGATGGGATGGGATGGGATGGGATGGGATGGGATGGGAGGGCAGCCCTCCCTCTGTGGGGCTCAGGGGGTGGGATTCCCCATCGCACCCCCCATAACCTGAACACAACCGAAGCGCTGTCTGCATGGCAAGTGGATTTATTGACTGCACAGAGGTGAACAAAGTGGGGGGAGTGCTAATTGCTGGGGGGGGGGGCTGTGGCTGGAGGTCCAGCTCACCAGCAGAGCTCCCCAGGGCAGTACTTATCAATCAGGGCCTGGTAGTACCCCTGCAGCTCCTTCACGTCGGGCAGCTCCTCCTGCTTGGTGTACAGATCGAACTTGCTGGGGGAGCACATTGGGGAGGATGGGGGTCAGAGGTGGTGGGAGGGGGTGTGAAGCACCTTCTCCCCCCCCCCCCATGACCACCATGACCATCATCACACACTTGAGCTCCTTGACCCAGGGCAGCATGCGCAGGTCCTCCTCGTTGCACAGGTGCTTGTAGTCCCCGTGTGCATGCCAGGGGTAGAAGGAATGGAAGCGGATCATGTAGAAGGCCTGGAAGGAGGGAGGGGAAGAGGGGGGACAGGGTTGTGGTATTGGGGGGGGGGGGGGGGATTGGGGAGCATTCAGCCCTTTGGGGTGACTGGCTCCCCTGCACAACCCCAACCTTCCCCTACCTCCTTGGGCAGGGCAAAGTTGTTGAACTTCATCACTCTGTACATGTACTCTGTGGAGAAAGTGGATGTTTGGGGGGCTGGGCTGCTCCCCCCACCCCAATGCTCTGTGGACGGTGGGGGGGGGAGGGGGGATGGCGGGGAGCCCCCCCCCCCCCTCCTTTTACAAAGGGTTCTGGGTCTCTGTGTGTCCCCCACGCTCACCGTCGTGTCCCCAGGACATGAGCACATTCTCCAGGCCGCAGTGGGGCTGGTACATCCCACACTCGGTGCTGGGGGGCAGAGTTGAGGGGCAGGGAAGGAGGGGGGGTCAGAGTAGCACCACGGTACCCTTCCCCTCCGGGTTCCCTGTCTACAGAGGAGCTGCACTCACTTGTACCGGGGGTCCCTGGTGTCAGGGTTGTTGTGGAAGGTGGAATCGTGGAAGACCACCGACTTCTGCACCTTGCAGCCCACTGGGAAGGTATCCCCCACCACCGCCCACTGCAGGGGGTGACAAACATCCCCGGTGTCCCCTAAGGGGTCCCCAAGGAGGGGGTCCTGCAGTCCCCGACCCTCCTCACCCCCACCTCACCTGGGGCTCCCCGAACAGCACCAGGACTTTGCCCAGGTCGTGCAGCAGCCCCACGAGGTGGAACCAATCTGGGGGTAAGCAGGGGGTCATCAGCCCCCCCCCCATCCGCAGCCTGGGGAGGGGGCTCAGGCAGCCAGACCCCCCCCAACCCCCCTTTACCACCCCACCTTTGTCAGGGTGGGCACGCCGGATGCCCTCTGCGGTCTGATAGGCATGGAGGGAGTTGGGGAAATCCACATCCGGGTCGGATTCATCCACCAGTTGGTCCAGCAGCTCCAGGGCCTGCATGGCACCCATCCTGCGCAGCGAGCAGCCCCCGTACTCAGCACTCTGCGGAGGTGGGGATGGTGAGCACCGGCCCAGGGGGACCCCCACCATCTGCCCCCCCCCCCCCCCCCCAGTACCTCCCATGGGACACAAACCTTCCTACGCACAAAGTCGACTGTCTGGTGGGTGTGCATCTGCAGGTACGTGTTGTAAACGCGGTCCAGCAGCTTCCCTTCCTGCAGCAATGGGTCAGGGCTGGGGGGGTTCAGTCCCCCGTAGATCCACAGGACCCTTTCCAGCCCTATGGGCCCCCACCCAACTCCATAGGCCACCCCTCAGCCCTATGGACTTCCTCCAGCCATGTGAACTCCTCAGCCCTATGGATTCCCTCCAGTCCCTCAGACCCCTCAGTCCTATGGGCTCTTCCCACCCTCACAGACCTCCCTCCAGCCTCATGAACCCCTCAGCCCTATGGATTTCCTCCAGCCCCACAAACCCTTCAGCCCTGTAGATTCCCTCCAGCCCTATGGACTCCCTCCAGCCTCA